TAAAGGTAATTCAAAATTTATTCATCCTTTGGTTATATTCAAAAGCTGACTTCTTAGACCACTGCATAGAAGGCTTGAATATAAATTCTACAGTAAACAGCAATAAGACCATACTTCTATTGAGCGACAAAGATGGCAATCTTAACTGTCTAGGGAAATCTTTTGTTATCACACCCTATCAAATAATGACTTTTAATTGTCATACAAAATGGTCACTGGTGAACCTCACACTTATGAGTCTGAAATCAAAATTTTCTACAAAACACAAAACTTTTCTATGTGAGGCACAGCCAAAATTTAGAGCTATGTCAAGCACGAGACATATACAATATTTTTTGTTTCGTTTTCTGCTTTCAGACAATTAAATACATATAAAATAATTATATATGAAATCCTGCTCTAAAATTCCTTATCGTCTACGAAATTCAAGTCAGCTTTTGATTACCATGACACATACAGGTCACTGTGAGCTTTGGAAAATCCTCCTAAAAGCAAAAATTAATGCTTTAAAAATGAGAGGAAAGATTCCAAAATCTAAGCCCAAAGTCACTGATTGTATCATTCTGAAAAAAACTAATATTTTAACCAAGTTTATTGAAGCACAGATAATACCATATACATAAACTTTACAAAACATATCCTTATAGACACCAGCATCAGCTGGGATTGGGAAACTGTCTCTTACCAATAAACAATGTTTGGTATACCGTATCTTATTTCATTCATTATTGTTTTTTTCCTTTTCTTTTCTTTTTTTTGCAAACAAAGCTGGAGCACCTAAATGGAATCAATATTTCTCATGCTTGCAATAATACAATTGCACATGATATAACCACATCCGCATACAGATTCTATTAATCGGAGATCTCACTGCCCTTGAAATCTTCTAATTTAATCCTTTGTTTGGTGAAGTTTGTAACATCACATGGAATTTTTAACGAATCTTTCTCAATATATTCAAAAGATGAAATAATATCTCCTAAAAAGGCAGAAATAACAAACAGACTATTGAAGGCATACCAACTCACAAGTATCAACTAGTAGTGCATACTTTCTATACTTATATACATACATATACACTTAAGCTAGATAGTGAAATTCAAGATTGTGTAAATTGGTACATTTTACTTTGTTTGCAAGAAGTGTTGTGGTTTAAAGGGCACGGGCATCTACAGCAAGGCGATTCATAATATGAATACAAATTCATGAAGTCTACAAACATCTATTGTCAGCATTGTAATGTTAAGATAAATGTTCCTGTAAAAAATATATAAAATAAGCCTCATAGCATTAGTGATGCTAATGATTAACACTTGTTGACAGTAACTGCCATAGATCATATTGTCTACTGTGAAATAACAAGCAGATTGAGCCTAGCCTTTCATTATCTGGAAGTGAACACAAATGAACACAAGATCTATTTACTATGATCATCAGACGTAATACTTTATAAAGGGCACACTACCACACATTACAATGACAGTTCTCTCATTAAGATTCATGGCTAGAAGGAAAAAAAACTTATGGTTGAAATGGAAATTTAAACTAATAAACATAATGAATATCAACTCAAGAAAAACCTAGACTTTCCTTACACCTTTGTCACCACATTTGTCACATGCTGATAAAACAACTCTTGAATCAGGAATCCACAATCTATTGAAAAAAGCATATTTGTACTATAAAATTTCACTCCCTGTGGCTTTTGTGCATTTCATGCCATCTGACTAAATTTCAAGAATGATAAAAATCTTGAGTGTCTCCGACCGCAATTTAAATATATATTTTAAAAACAAATGACACTGCAAAAATCACTGGTATTTTCCTTGCTTGTGACCATCATATTATCCATATTTGGGAAAGTTACTATGACATCTTTTACCTTTATCATGACATGAACACAGGAGAAACATTTAAAAATCTGCATGTATATATAATGCTTTGTTATAAATATATCCAAAGACAGGTTATTAAAATCAATTATCTACACACTTGACAACCTGCTTACACATTACCTTTTCCAGCAACAATTCAGAGTAGAGTAATATCTCTCACAGTACTGACAATGTCTAAGGCTGTGCAAGGGCTTAACTTTAGTGTCGGTATCAGTATCAATAATAACTTAGAGAACTTTTTAATTGTTTATAACACAGACTATTTTCCAAAATCACAGAGGAACCAGAGGATTATGTTCTGCATAATATCACTACGGTTTCAAACATGTTTAAAATGTAATTTTTCAGCATCAAGTAAACTTTAGTAGCTTCAAATACAAAAAAAAATGGCTAAAATGAAAGGCAAGTCAGTACGATGAAAGTTAATTACCTCATCTGAATTGAAAGGACAGCATACTATCAAATGACTGGGACTTCATACTGTTTTAACTTTTTATAACACTTTCTTTTGCTTGTATTCTGACCCTACAAGAAAAAATAAATAATAACATGTGACATCCATCACACTGTCACTCAATCTCTAGATTTATATATCAAACCTGGAAAAAATATAAATAATAAAATTTCCTTTGCAAAACGAAAATAATGGCATCAGTCATGACTTCCAACACTATCCTTTTACCACACTCCAAATGAGATTTACCAAAATCATAAACACCTAAACAATGATCATACAAATTAAGCCAACATAATCAACTATGAATTTGTGAATCATATGATGGATTACCAAATAAATTTGTGCAAGGCAATATAATCTGTCTTGGAATATGGACTCTTGTGCCACAACATGAAAACAACTAAATATTGGCAATACTAAAAGTAATATTTACCTTTGACTATATATATCGACTAAATAAAACTCAGGTCATGTCAGAGGAATGAAGGAGAGAAGGAAAGGGATAAGAAAGGGTGGAAAGAGTGAGAATGGGAAAGAGTGACAGAGGGAGAAGGAGAGGATACAAGAAAGGGAATGAACATTCAGGTAATTCTTTAAAAATGGTTTCTGACCATCATCTACTGCTCTGCCTTGTGTACTGTGTGGTAGGCATTGCGGATGAGGGCGTAAGGGAAGCATGCTTCCAGAAGGTCCATGGTTAGGAAGGGTGACTGCACTACAATCTGGAAAGCAAATTTGTGGAGTTACATATTCTGAATGTCAAAGATTGTAATAATAATAATAATAATAAAAAAAGGTACATGAGTTAGTAATAATGCGCAAAGTAAGAGATAGAAAAGATTTACAGACAGCACATTATTTACCATATAAAAATAATTTCCATCTGTTTACAATGCTGTATCTGTATGCACTAAGTGAAACATGAGAGAAACAAAAAACTTTATAGATTATCTGCATAATGTGAGAAAGATTGTAAGGAAGTAAGATAAACTTACCTGATGTAATAAGATGTACGTTGCATCCCTGTTCTTTATAACATCCTTGTCATTCTCTCGCCCTAGGCGCAGGAGGCTGGAGGAAGCCAGCTGTAAGGGTAATATCAGACGTAGTTATAAGATACTGCCATTTACTGGTAGTTCATGGTTCTAATAAAAGTATATATAAGTTATTTCAATCAATAAATTCTATAATTTAGATTATAAGCCTATAGGATTCCTTAAGCAATCCCCTTTCAATTACTAAAATAAAAAAACAATACTTCATAGAGAGCATTCAACTCCATTTAATCCGGAGGTGAACAACAGCACAGAAACCAAGAAGCAGATTACCAGCTATACAAATTTACATTACACAGGACTTACAGCCAAAAACTCCTTCAACCTCTCCTCAATGTCTTGCGCTCGCCCACAATAGGTGAAGAGAGCAGCAAAAAGTGTATTTACTGCCTGAGCCAGACAATGGGAGTTGTTGGCATGGGCCCCATATGCTGGTTTGTATACCTGGAGTAACAACAGAACACATGAGAATCTAAAGGTGTTGTATAACTTAGATATCATGACATTTGAAACACACTTCTCAAAATTAAATTATATTCTTCAACACCATATCTTATAACTTGGCCATCCTAAATACCCTAAAATGCAAAATGCAAACAGTAGAGTATGTACAGAATATATTTCACATTTCCCTTATCCTAACACTCAATCCCATATTAGAAACATCATTTTAATCACTGAAAGGCTTTGAATTTGCTGGGATCTACCAGGGCTGTAAACATCCTAAAACACATTCTTTCTTTCCCCGAATTACAATGTGATACCTTCAATATAATCATTTTTTTGCATTATCATGACTGGGATCATCATTAATATAATGAATTTTGCCGTCAACATTGTTGATATCATTGAAGAAATAGCAAACCTCAGTTGTCATGAAAAGTGGCCATCCCACATGGATATCAATTTCTTAAAATGTAGCCTCTCCTTACAAAGACCGGGAAAAATAAGACCAGATCTCTTTCTTCTACTTACTGTGTTGTCCATCCTTGCAAGTTTCGGAATGGAAACGGCAACAAATACCATCAACAAGCACGTAATGATGAATTCCTCATCAGGTACCTCTGCAGGGGAACAAGACAGGTAAGAGGTCATTCATGATTTCATTACAAGGAATCAGCACAATAAAAAGAATTGTTCTGCTTCTGCCTTGGATATAAGACTATCTTTTTTAAATATGTTTTCCTCTCATGCAATAAGGAGATAGAAAATTCAGACAAGCATGGCAAAAAGACTAAAGCATTAGAGACGTAAAACAGAAGTACTTCTGATATTCCCATACAGACAGAAAATCATAAATCTGTAAAGAAAAAAAAAATCTTTCTGCTTATTACACCCTCTTCTTTCATATTTACCATTCTTATGAGATCGCAAGACATTGACAAGGGCTGGGTCAACCTCACACGGATGGCCAGCGGCTGAAGACATCTCGTTCACAAGCTGAAATATTCAAGGGGATGAGGTGAAGAAAGACACATGCGCCTCTCGATGTAGGTCTATTTGTCCTTCTGCTCACAAAATCTCTTTTCTTGATTGTCTACGCCACCATTTACAAGACTTTTACACACACACACACACACACACACACACACACACACACACACACACACACACACACACACACCACACACAGCACACACACACACACACACACACACACACACACACACACACACACACACACACACACACACACACACACACACACACACACACACACACACACACACACACACACACACACACACACACACACACAAACACACACACACACGCACACACAACTGAAAATGGTGAAAATTAAAACGAATCAACAACAATATCTAGGGAATAGCAATCATTACTCCTAAATATACAGCGTTTCACAAACCATAAAATTTGCCTCACCCTTTAATCTTTAAAAAAAAAAAAAAAGAAAGATCATAAATGCAGGTTACTTAAATGTTTACAAGGGTAATCCTGTATCACGGTTAATGAGTTAGAATACCATGAAAGAGAGCAATGGTACTCAAATCAAAAATTAAAGGGAAAAAATATCAGTATCCTAGAATCTTTAACCATGAAATACCAAAGGCTTAGAAGTACCAGTCCTTTTCCTCCCAGTACTCCTACATCCCAAAGCATAATCATGTAATTAAAGGAAATACAAACCCAAAATGAGAATTAAAGAAGGGACGGTAAAACTCAAAAGCTGCATACCAACAGTTTCATGAACACAAATTCTACACGTTTTACCATCCCTTGCAACCAAATGCTACCCTTGCACTGAGGGTTAGTGCTATGGTCAGTTCCACCCAACAACCAGAAAAATCATTAGTAGTCTACACATACTTAGATGCAGTTCGGAGAAAAGCGGCAGAACACAACAGGCTTTAGTCCTTGCTCGAGGCCTTTTTTTATTCAGAAACCGAAATCATCAAGAGAGACAACTACATCCCATTCCAGATGAAAGTCTCTGCTTCTAGTTTCTTTTATCTGATATGTTTAATGGGATATTTAACAATCTTTACCACATTCATGAGTCACTTTTAATACTTGAATATGTCACTGCTCTCAAAAACTGAACTATCTTAGACAAAATGTAAGGAACATATTTTCATATATACTGTATCAAATATATATATATGTAAATATATATAAATATGTATATGTGTGTGTGTGTGTGTGTGTGTGTGTGTGTGTGTGTGTGTGTGTGTGTGTGTGTGTGTGTGTGTGTGTGTGTGTGTGTGTGTGTGTGTGCGTGTGTGTGTGTATGTGCGTGTGCATGTGCGTCTGCATACACACACACATACACACACACACACACACACATTTTGGCTGGGGGCTGGGATTGTGGGTGTGCGTGTTGGTATAGCTTTTGTGTGCCTGTGTGTTTGTGTGTGTCTGTGTGAGAAACCACACTACAGTGAGAGACTAAATCAACAATGACTCTTTTCAAGGTTACATGCACAGTACCTGGCCTTTTGTCATATTCTGCTCGTTCTCAACTGCGTAGCCAGTTACCTTACCACAGCCATTAATATTATGTTTAGCAGGGGTGGAGGGGGGAGAGTAGTAGTATTCACCATCAAAATCAACGAGTTTACCGTCACCATTAACCATCACCATCGCCCAAGCATGCTAAAAGAACTCACTCTTGGCTAACCTGCAGCTTTATGTTCTCAATCTGCTCATGAACAACCCGCGCATCACATGTGAAGGAAGGGAGTATTAGTATCCTGCACTCCAAACTCTTATTGACTTGCGTGAAAAACATAGCCTAGGCCTGCATTCGTGTATCTTTTCCTTTTTCCAATAGTTCATTTTCCTTCTTTGGATTTGTTGTTTTAATGGAACACTCCAATAAGAACTCTCAAAAAAAAATAATAATAATAAATAAATAATAAAAAAATAATAATAATAAAAAATATATAATAGTAAAAAAAAAAAAAAAAAAAAAAAAAAAAAAAAAAAAAAAAAAAAAAAAAAAAAAAAACATATTCATCTTTCCTTAGCTGTAAACATCCCAATACATCTAACAGTGGTAATGATGTTCCTTTATTATTGCACAAAAGTTTGTCTGGACGGAGGGCTTGGTTAAGTGTTTCTTTTTCATGATTCAATGTTAAAAATAGTAAACAAAAGTGAAATAAATTCTTTTATATTGTATATTACTTTCATTACCATGATAATTCAAACATTTGCATAATCAGTCAAATAATCTTTTATTCTGATGCAAGAATAATTTTTTTGCTTCTGGGATCAGATGTTCCACAACAATTTCATGTTAGTTTTTCTTCCTTTTTTAATTATCAATATTCTTCTTTGCCTACTTTTAAGCAAATTCTGGGAGGTTCCTTTATCTTTTTCTAAGGTATCCAACTGGAGAAAAAATAAATGAAAAAATTTAAAACTGATTACCTAACAACTAGTGCCCTCAACAGTCCAAATCAAGATCACTAATAAAAAAAAAATAGTGAAAAGTAACTCTGGCTGACACCTGTAATGCTCATCTGCATTGTCACTCAATAAAGCGTGTGTTATTAGAAAGCAGAGATACTGAAGGTTTGCGCTCTTGGTTCTGGAAACTGTTATAGCTGAAGCAAAGTGACAACCTGAACACCACCTTCAGAACAAGGCATCAGTACCGGAGAACAAGGGAGACCTCGCAGAGAAATTACACCTTAATAATCTTCAGTGTGTCAGCTGTGTTAAGAAGATTGCTTTGGGTAATTTCTGTGCTGAGGATAATGTGTTATGTACAAAGAAACAAAAGTATTTGTAAAATAAATATCATCATTGATTCATTAAATAGTAAAAGGCAGGCTGAAATAAATAGTGAAAATAACATGAATCTGATGACTCATTAACAGAAAAAAATGAAACAACACCAAAACAAGTTTCTCAAGTTAGTCTATATCCTTGAATAAGCTTTCCCTTTAGACAGCATTCCTCCATTTCCCTCTGAAATTCCATCTAAGCAAGATGAATGTCAAAATCTGATATAATTACTCATCAAAAATACGAAGAGAAACTACAAGCTATTTGCTCTTCACATCAAAACACTCCACAGTATTAGCTGTGGTTCCTGATGTGGACATACAGACTTTTAAGGATTGCAACAAACACAGTCCAACTTTGGTTGTGAAAACAAAAATATTGAAAAAGAAAGTTTCCCTCTGTTCTAAACCTAGTTATGAAGGAGATAATGCCTCTTTGTCATTGAAGAAGTTAATGCATATAACCATGTTATTCATTTATGCTGTCTAAAGGGAAGAGGTCAAGCTATTCATTTTGAAAAATAGAGATGAAGGAATTTTTAAATGGATTTACTTCTTAAAGGTGTTTTGTTCTCTTATGAGAAATTGTAAAATGTAATCACATCTAAGAGATTGTGAAGAAATCTGTAAAAAATATAATAATAAAATGGCACATAAAATAAGAAAAATAATACTACTGAATAATACTATATTGTAATATTTGATATGTAATGTGCTGCAAAAATAAGAATGTTCTAAAACAGGAATTCCTTTACTTCATTTCACAATACTTTTAAATGATTTGGTAAAAAAGATAGAAATCTGAAAATTACGCTCATATATAAATTGTCTGATTTAAAAGAAATATTCATACTTCTAAATCAATTCAACATAAAATCATTTCATTTGAAAACCATAAATTTTGTTGAAAATATTGAAATCAATCTTAGGAAAACCATGCTTTTTTCTTTCTTCTTCTTGCTTTTGTTCCCTAACTTAAAATTCGGTATAAATAATGTGTAAACTTGAAACAGCACACAATAAAAAGAAAGCCTCTATGCCTTAGTTTTGCCTACATTAACTTTTCCATTCAAAATTCCTGAAGAATTACTCCTTACTCACCATTGTGTCACCATTTGGAACATGATGCTTGAAGTCAGCTATGGATGACATGAGGAAGGGAATGCGGTTGTCAAGAATGTCTGCCAAGGCTTCCTGAGCCAGCTGTCGGAAGCAGAGAATCACTCCGATGATCTGCATGCGCGATAGGACACTATCCACCTCTGTGGCGAAAGTTGAAGCATACACATCAAAGAGAAGATGTAATGATTAAATGAATATTATTCATGGTATTCTACACAGAAGTCACAGTAGAAAATTGTATACATACGCTGCAACTTCTTGAATAATTCCTTCATTTGATCTGGTTTGTCGAAGTTGGTTCTCATAGAGAGCAGAACCTCTTTATTCAAGATCACCAATTTCTGTTCATCAGAAAAGAGAGAGAGAAAAAAAAAACATGTACTTGTTATCCAAGCATAAGTATACCATAAAAAAATCTAAACAAAGCTGGATTTTACATACTGATAAAGAAAAGCAAAACAAAAACAGAAATGTAAGCACAACTAAAATAAAATAAATTTCAACCTGAACTATGACTAACTAATAAAAATCCTGTATATGAATCAACATAATACACTTCATTACCTTCAGTTCTTGCACCTGATTGGCAATGTGCCACATCAAATTTTCATTCAGTGCTTTCATCCCATAGGGTCCAATTAGTTCTGCCAAAGCTCTAAGCTCATTGATATCAGAAAATTCTTCTGCTGCAAAGGGCTGAGCTCCTTCTGCTGTTAACGACACAAAGGCACGCTGATTTTCTGAGAACACAATGTGACCTGCACTAACTCTTCGAAGGAGTATCTCAGAATACCTGTAGTGGAGACAAGGTAAAGCATAAATTCAATTCTGATGTATTTCAATATACGTTATCAAAATTATTAAATATCTGAATACTACAGTCATCCTTGATATGCATGCCGTAATGCTGATCCTAACCCCTAGAATTCATGTGATGTGACAGTCAGGTCAATGTGATGTCTCTTGTACTTTCATTAACGAACTACTTGTCAGTGTTGTCCTGTATCCTCATACTTTTCAGTGAGTACAAAGTCCTGTCCTGTTTCTTTATTGGTTCTCAATTCTAAAAAATGACTCAACCCTGGTATCTGAAAAACTTCAAATATCCTCCTCCTATTGATTTCTAGCTTTTTCCTAACAATAGGTTAATGATGAATGATTCAAATTTACCTTATTTCTATATATTCTATATATATATATATATATATATATATATATATATACATATATATATACATATGCAGTCTTCTACAATATTTTCTATTTATGTACACTAATGATGCATAAAGAAAGAATTGCACTCTTACCATGTATTATAATGGGCTGTGATGGTCTTCTCACCGTGGCTATCCTGCAATTGTGTCTGCTGCAGAAGGACATTGTTGAACACCCTTGTGATGTCTATGTGAACTGAAAAAGACAAAAGGTACTTTATAAACTGGATCTCATACACTACTTGCACCTAAAATTAGTACATGCAACCACAGATCAGTGAAAATTGGGAAGGGATAAATGAATGAAATACCCACTCCTGCTCACAGCTTGTCCATGCAATTAGACCATATTTTCAGCAAATCAAAATATCATCCTTGTAAAAATAATTGCAAAAGTGATACAGAAAGAAAATATTGGCTGAACAAGACCTTGAGCAACTGTTTGAGGTCTAAGTGAAGATGGCTTACAAGATGAAGAGAAGCTACAAAATGCTTAACCTATACAATATAAATATCATATCAGCTGCCAAAGGGAGGTTAATAAGCACATGTATCAAAGGAAGAAAAAAGGAAAGCTCATAGCACGACAAAAATACGTTTATTAGATAATCAAAGAGAAGTTGCTTGACGTCATCTTAATATCATGCAGTATCATATTCTATGTATATATTTCTTATTTTTTAGCAATGGGCAAAACCTGAAAAACTCTACAAAAGGAAAAAAAAAGAAAAGACAAAAATCTAAACGTACCATAATTCTCAACAGTCTGCAACACACTCATGTAAGTCTTGACACTTGCTAAAAGCTCTGATGGTTTGGCGATCTCATTGGTGTCTGGGTTGTGCATGACCATCCCCACCAGTGCTCGTGCAAACCTGGGCGGCAAGAAGAAAAATATAGAAATCAGCAAACCTAACACATGATCAGGTAAAAAAAAATAAAAAATTTCATCATTCAAAGGCAAAAGCTTTTTCATAAAATTGATACATAAAATTCTATACAAATTACCTTTGTTCCAAGTGCTGGTAGAGATATTCTCTTGGAGCAAAAGTGTATTCCCAAACCTGGATCTGACTGCAGTAGTTAATTGCAAAACAAAGCTCCGTCAAGGCCATGTGCAACTTGTCCATCCTGTGGAAGTAAAATATTCTTACGTTTAGCTTTCTACCGTTATATCACTTATATTGCACACCTCCTTTAAATAAGACATTCTAGTTTAAACATTCAGCGGAGCTAAAAATAATGACAAGGAAAAAACCTACGTTGTCAATTCCTCTCTCGTTTTTCTGTAGCTCTCAAAGCCTGGTCGCCCCTCTGTTGTGTCCTCCTTTTTCTTCTTCTTCTCTTTCTTTTTATGAATAAGGAGAGGAACGGTGTGCTTTGGCAGGAGCTGAAAAAGAAATATAAAAATGAAAGTGAACAAACGGACAAGAAACTCATTCTCATACACCATTTTCTCATTTCTCTAAGGTCTCACTCAGGAACCATATCCAGAAAAGGTATATCAAGTACTAAAAACCTAAAATTTCCATTGCAGAACTCTCAATCACATTCTTTTTCAATACAATCATCAATCTTACATATACAACTCCATGCATCAATCTCAGGTATGGAAAGAAATTAATAATGCATGGTCATCTTGCTCACTTCAAAGAGTGTTTTTTTTTTTTTTTTATAAATTCATTCATTCAAACGACTTTTAAAAAGTAGTAGGTGTTGAATAAGTTGAATAGATGTTACCTCCTTCCCATGAAGATTTTCCAGATCCAAAATACATTCTAAAAGTATAAGGTACATGTAGCAAAGTTTCAAAAATGTTACCAAAATCTCTCTTTTACACTAACCCTTTTATGACAAACTCAAATTCATTCCAATTTTGTTTAAGAACTGCAAGCAATACTTTCTTCAATTTCCAAAATAACCTAACATGTACATCTGCTACTCTTATCTCTTCTCTAATCAGCACTGTAATAGGTGTAGCAGAGAACATTAGGCATATTGTTACTACAACTCAAAATCTTCATACCTTATCAGAGAGAATGCACTGTTCATCACAGATGGTTGTTATAATATTCTTGGCTTCCTTTGCCATTTCCTCTAGGAACATATTGACTACTGACAGACTCCTTTCTCGTATGTGATAACGCTGAAAATATACAAGAGTATATTACTTTTCTACTTTGGCAATACATATGAAAGACAAGTGAGTAAAATAATAATGAAAATAATTATGCCAACAATAATAATCATAATGATGATAATAATAACCATCATCATTATTTTCCATTATAAATAGAATGATAATCATTACAGAAAAAATCCTCATAAAAACAACTGTATTTCTTTTCTTTTATTCAAAAGACTCAAAAGCAATACAGTATTTCCAATACCTCCTCAGGGCAGATCTCATGAGTACAGGCTTGCATATGTGAACATATTAGAGGAAAGCAGACAATGTAACGATTCTGGGCTGGAAACTCCAAGCACATGTGGAAATTATCCTCAAACTGTTTACTGAAAAAGCTGTAAGAAAAAAAAGAAGAGAATCTTACATCATACACAATCTTACATCTTGTTATAAATCTATCAACAATTATGGTAGACAGTAATTACATGAAAATAAATGGATGAAAAGATATAAAAAAAAAATTTAACTTACCAGAATATGGAAAGATCGGATGTTTCTATCAACATTTCATCCAGGAAATCAACCATCTTGGTGTGGAAAACAATCTGGTTGATGAGAGCTGTCAGTTCCCTGTGATCTTTGAGATGCAATCCTGAGCGATTTGATGTGGAATAGGCCTGAAGGCGGAACCAGTCCAGGCGGATGCCTCGGAAGTCAAATGTTGCACCTTCCTCTGGAGATTGTTAATTGTGGGGGAAATGTCTCAATTTAGAAAAGAAAAATGAATACTATCCTGGAGTATAGTAGACATTATCAAAACCATCCAAAGCAAATACTCAAAAACACTTTAAAAATCACCAATTACTAAAAAAGAAATTTAAGATAATAATGGGGAAAAAAATCCTCTATCTTAGGGTTTAAATCAAGGACAGAGAAGAGACATTCATGTATGCAATGACTGCAGTCTAATCATGAAGCACGAAAACATAATCATCTTCGATTGTCTTTATTCTATCAAATGACTTACCTTGTTTGACCGAAAGATTCCCAATTTCATTGCACATTGACGAGAGGATGACTGACTCATCTTCTGGAAGATTCTGCAAGCTCTGGATCAGCTGGTTTAGTGCAATTGCATCATAGCCACACAAGTACTGAATGTAGTATCTTTGTAGCACCTGTTAATAAAATCCCCATGTCTGATAAATAACGTATTTTGCAATAAATCAATTACCTCATTTCACATAAGGTATAAAAATGAACACACTAACAGCTATTTATCTCGCATGCACTATGATTCAACACTGTTCTAACCTGAGAGTATTTCTTGATTAGAGCTCTAATCTCTTCCATGTGGAAAAGCAGTTCGGGAAGCTGTCGGTCTACTAGGTCATCAGCAGTCTTGCCCTTGACCTTCTGCAGGGGTGGGTTCTCATGGTGTCGCAACAGCCACAATACCTGCATTCACAAAATAATCATGACATGAAAAAGTTAGATCATTACAAAAGCCAAACAGCAGGCCACATCTTCACCCATCTAATGGTGGTTACATAAACTGTCCACTATAGTTTTGTTCTGTGAAATATGTTTACACTCTTCTTGCATTCATAGTTTTGCATGAAATTCATTCAAAGTATACTGTTGTAGATTAAAAAATCTTTTAATTCAAAAAATAATAATAACAATAAAAAGAAAGTTACAAAAGGCAATAACAGAGGCCATATGCACAGTATATAACATACTCCATCTAAACAGTCACTTGAAACATATTCTAACTTTGAATAATGATAACTGAGTGTAACAAATTACTCTAGATACACTTCTATGACACTTAAACCTCCAATGATATAAAAGTCCACCTCTCATATGCTAATACTTTACTTTATCTAGCCCTCATGGTCCACTGATTGTATTTACCGATAATGCACTTTATGCTATGAAATTTAGTTTATATCATTAAATAAAAGAATATAACTATCCTGGGGTATAAATCCAGTAGGTTTTGGGCATTAATTTTTTGTACATAAAAATAAGATAAATGAGATGTGAAGATACTATTCAAGAAGAGAAACAAACCAAAGATGAGAAGAACAAATTAAAAGTTGCGACTCACTTCATCTCTCGCAAAGCTGAGGCCCATGAAGACAAAGAGAGCCTTTGGGCCTAACAGTCCCGGTTGATCCGTGAGGATCAGGGCAAGCTCTTTCAATGCTGTACGTAGGTACTTTCGGCGTTCTCTGTGCATGAGTGGCCTGTGGTGGAGAGGGATTATTTGTAATATGTTAGCCATAAAGAGAAAGATAAAAATATGAAGTACAAAACCATATTGCTGCAACCTTGGCTGATGTTTGATAATCTGATGCAGAACATAGACTACGTCTGGATACTGTATTTCATTTATTTATTTATACTGATATTTCTACCACCATCTTAGCTCAGCATTGATGCTTAGTTATTCTCTATCCAACCAATTTACCATGAGAAAAATCATCCCTCAGAAAAGACAAGAACAAATCTTAAAAAGAAACAAGAATGTTGATTTCTATTATTTAACAACTGTATCCCATTTTAAACTTGAAGGAAATAAAGAATAAAGCAAAAGGAGAAGAGATACAGAAACAACAAAGCTGCTATAAACATAAAAATAATATACTAAAACTTTGAACAATACCACTCTGCCAATCACACACTATCTACCCATAAACACAACTCCAATTTTGGTAGCGCACTAGCAGGAATTCATCTCCAGACCTGCACAAAAGAATCCATACCCAACTTAAATAAAAAGGCTAACACAAAGTCACTTACGCATGTGTCACAGCGTGAGAATAACTCTCCTTTACATCAGATGTTCGTTTACTGAGTTCTTTTTTAGTCTCCAGGTATGACTGAATATATGAATGTGGGTGCAACACTTCATCTCTGCAATCATTCAGAAAATGTGTTAGTTTGATTAAGTTATCCCTATACCAATTATTCAATATCTGTTAAAATCAATATTCTTAATCAATACTAAATTCACATAAAATCACTTCTATATTGACATGATATCAAAATAATACAGTCTGAATGCCTAAAATGCAAATCTTTTCCATTTTCTGAAATTTTCCTTCAAACTAATGCAATGACTATCATAAAAAGATATGAAATTATTTAAAACATAACTATTCAAAAAAGGAAATCACTAAGACAAAATAAGACTGCGGACAACACTGTTACAGGTAGAAATCTATCTTGGAAATGAATAATCATAATGAAATCCCGCCTAAATTAATACTCTGTTTATGGAACATTTGAATGCACCTGTCACATGCAAGGTGGGGCTTTAAATTGTGCTCATATCTCATTTTTGTCATTTAGTCAAATAAAAGTCAGCAGATGAGAGTTCAACCCTGTAACAGGAGATCTGAGCCAAAGTTCGATCATCAATATTTAAGAGAGAGAGAGAGAAAAAAAAAAATAGTCTTAAGAAATTAAGCAAATCATGACCTTCTGGACAAAAATTACCTGAATAGTGTAATAACCCATCCAGTCTGTAAAGCTTGCGCCCAACATTCAAGGGCTGCTTGTTTTTGCAATGTCTGTGGGATCAACATATACCCAAGGATGATCCAGCGCTCCATAGTGTCTAATGACAAATATTCACACGGCATGACATCAGTCTGAGCAGGGTTCAAAAGCTGACTTGGTGTGCTCACCAAACTTAACATTTGTGCTGCCCTGTATGATAAAACATCAATTAGACATCAAAATATTTCAAAACCTTGATATAAAGCTTTAAGCAATACACTCTCATGGTACACAAACATTGCAAGATCAGATATATCACACATCTTACCTCCACTGGTCAGCTCGGAGGTTTCTCCGAGGATACAACACCCAGAGTGAACTGAGAGCCACTGAAAGGAGCTTTCCATGAGGCACAAACTCTTCATTAAGCTTTCTCAGTGGCGTTTCGTAATCCATAATCATTTGGCCCAAACGTGGAAAACTTGGATCTCTGTGAGGATAATCAGATTCCAAATGAATGAAAAGGGAGAAGAAGACATTCATTCAAATCAAATTCTTGAAATATCTATAGCACGTCAGAAATATGCCAAGACAGAGAAATGAATAAACTCATACCCTTGATTGTTGACCATTTCATGAGCTGCATTAAAGAGTCCTAAAACAGCCTTCCGATCCTCTACTCTCGACAGAAGAATCATCAGAGTTACATAATTTGTTACCAAATCAAGGTAGCCTTTTGTCAAGTCATAGCTCACGTTCTGGAAAAAAATCAAAATCTTGACTTATAACTATAACCTAAACATATATTTCTGTATGTGTAAATGGAACAGTATGTAACGCACACACCCATGCATGCACACAAGCACGTACACAAGTACACCTGTATGCACACACGCACACACACACAAAAATGATGTTGTCTATACAAAGTAAATACAAGCAAATCTTGTTTCACTTGCCCTACCACAAAAAGGCAATGAAAAAGGATTGTTTCCCTGAATCCTTCTAGGAAGGCTAAGAAAAGCACACTTTGCTTTCACTTACAATGTCCAAGGAGTCAGCCATGGCCAAGGCATCCATAATGGTAAGTAATTCTGACACATGGTCCTTCAGGTCAAGGAGGTCGACAAATGTGTAATAGTAGAGGGAGAGGGACTTCATGATATCCGTCCGTACATTGGTAAGGGCTTGCAGCTGTGAGGGGAAAGAGATATCAGTAACATAAAAGGTACAGATTGAAAAACTTGTACATATATATTTTTTTTAACTCACCCTCTGCTCTTCAAAAACAACACAGAAAGGGCAAGAAATCTATTTCCTTACTGGCCACTTAACTACACATATAAATTAATAAGTAAATAAGATAAACCTTAAAACATATTCAACTACAAGACACCAGTGAAGCACTAACCGATTTGCTGTCGATGTTGGGGAACTTCCTGACGATATGTTTGATGCATGATTCTAAGCTTTTGTCTGAGAGGAATGCAGGCTTTGATTTGGCATCACCACATGCCTGTCAAAAATAAAAAAATAGAAAATACATATACAGATATACATCTAATATATATAAATATAAAGATAATGAACTTACAACTATAAAGACAGTAAGGCACATAGTATATACATCAGCAGCATTTAAAATTGAGAGTGTAATAAAACAAATTCATTTTTTCAAAGGTCAGAACTAACAAAAAGAGAGACATTCAGTCAAAATTCAAATGCCAATAAAAAGATGATACCTGAAAATACGTAGAACACACCATGAAAACATCACTGGGTTTCCAGAGCTTGAAATATGGATATATTTAGCTCATTTGTGTTGGCAATTAATAAAGTCACAAACTAAATCAGCCTCTTGTGCCAATAATACTACATTTGTTATTTCCAATAACCTAAAAAAAAAAAAAAAAAAAAAAAAAAAATGTAGCCCTGATGTTTTTTTTTTTTTTTTTTTTTTTTTTTTTTTTGGGGGGGGGGGGGTAAACCAAAGCATGTATACACCTATGGCATCAAACATCAAATATCAGTTATCTCTAGAGACTGACATCTATTTGACCTTATTTGGTCAAGCACTGTTTTGAAGAATATTTTCTATTTCATCTGATTATCATCATTTCCTGTCAAAGATAAAAGTTCGTCCTTTTCCTTGGAGACAGAGACAGGCTTGTATTCTAAAATGAAATACTGAATTCCTTTATGATCTGCACTGTATGTCATGCATTTCCATATCAACATGCTTCTCCCTTCTATAACTTATCAGTGATGCATTTACAACATAGATAAGATATGAAATCTTATGAAATGTAAAGAAAAATATTTTAACATTATATTAACTTGTTCTTCAAAAGCACAAAATGTATAAGACTATAGCCATCCACAATAATTTTAGTAGAATCACACAATCTGATCTTTCAAAGAGGCATAAAACCACATATGTAATATTTCACATGAAAACTTTGTGTGCAGTTTGTAGCTTAAATAGCCAAGAAATATTCTTACATAGGCAAAGTTCTATGCCGTACCGACAAGGACACATTGCCTAGTTTCAAACACCTGGAAAACTCAAACACATCCATCATCAAATTCCTTCCTTTTCAGAACCACTAAAAGGAAAAAATAAGTCAAATTACCATTCACGTGCAACCTACACACATCACATTTGCTCTTCTAACATATATACATACATACATACATACATATATATATATATATATATATATATATATATAATATATAATATAAACATATATAAACAAACATACATATATGTAATTATATATATGAATATATAAATAGATACTACATACACACATATATAAACATATATCATATATATCTATATCACACTCTATCTATCTATCTATCTATCTATCTATCTATCTATCTATATATGTATATGTGTATGAATGTGTATGCATGTGTATGTATATGTATGTATATGTATGTATATGGTATGTATGTATATGTATGTATGTATGTATGTATGAATATGTATGTATGTATGTATGTATGTATATGTATGTGGAAAGGTATGAATGAGAACGAATATCTTCACAATACTAGAGATGTATTTAACCGGTTTCGATTATATCTTCGTCAGAAATGCATGTATTTCTGACGAAGATATAATCGAAACTGGTTAAATACATCTATTGTATTGTGAAGATATTCGTTCTCATTCATACCTTTCCACATTTGTCAACATGAATACAGTTCCATGTATGTATGTATGTATGTATGTATATGTATGTGTATGTATATACATATGTATGTATGCATGTATGTATGCATGTATATATATGTATGTATATATATGTATGTGTATGTTTGCATGTATATGTATGTATGTATGTATATGTTTGTATGTATTTGTATGGATGTAAATTTATTATTAGTATATATATATATATATATATTATATATATATATATATATATATATATATATACTAATATCTAATATTAGAATAATAGAGTTCTTTATGAGTGTTATTAGATTTTCTTGGAAATGTATACAAAATTATTATGTGTTGCACAACTTTCTTATTCTCAACTTGTGAAGGAATATCATAGATAAAAAGTACCTTATTTTCTGTTGTTTTATCCATTTAGGGCAAAGTTTATACTGTTCCATACAGCTGTGTGTACCTGGCACTATACCATAATGATATGTAATATGGAAATTTTTTTAACCGAGCCAAATCTACTAGAGATGATAAGTCCCACAATCACTTTCTGGCACTATAGCGCCTCCAGGCTACTACAGTGGTAATGTGTCAGCCTCCCATCCGAGGGGTCAGCAGTTTGTGCCCCGCCCTGGTACAAGAAGTTGTAAATGTCACCCAGAGGTTACTGCTGTGGCTGGGCACCACAGTGGGTAAGGACTAACCTCTGTTGCGTCAGAACTAGCTGACACACATTCATTGAGTCAACATTAGTCGGCAAAGGCCAGGCTCCACTCATAGCCTGGGCGAGGCTCAGTTTCGCATATTGAACGTATCCTTATGACACTATAGCAAACACATACAAACCTTATCCCACAAATGATTGGTCAAATATAGTTTGGCCAAATTCCTCACTGGTCAACAAAAATCAGGTTGGACTACATGCTCCAACCCTGAGAAAATTCTACATAATTGGAGATTTGTTATCCTTAGATTGGAGTGCCAAAATCGTGGAAAACAAAAGCAGCAAAAACTTCAATTACTGCAGGTGTAACTTTGCAAAGTATATAACTGTAAACTTGCCTTCACTTTCTGCATATTTTTTCTATGGCTAACAATATTGTTTTAGGAGTTCTAGAAGGATATTTCCTTAGTTTCCTTCTCATTTCAAGACTGACCTATAAAACGAATTAAAAGGTAACTGGTGCAAGGCCAGTGCTCAAAACTGACATCTAGACCTCAGCCCTATGAGCTTTTCGTAGTTCTCTTGCATTGACGTTTCCATTACATTTTGTTTAGACTAAGCTTTATCTAGGTATTTATAAAATCATCTACCTATGGAAACTTAATCCAATCTATTCCCATTCATTCTTAAAATACATCTTAAACTATCGTATTAATCATTCCTTCGCTTAGACTTTCCGTTCTCTTACCTGGGCACAAAACAGACCCAAAGGTGAACGGCCTGGTTAATCAGCTTTAGTGCACGAACAACTTCTCCCCGGGTAGCTCAAGACGAATGCCATTTCTTAAGCTTCTTTACCCTCGAAATGAAAGAAAACCACCGAAACTAAGCCCTCGCCAGACGCAAAACCTGAAGGAGGCGAAGTGCGAATGTCAGGCGGATGAGCCATCGGCCTCGCATCCTCCTCTCATTAAGCTACTTCCTCGCCCATTTTTTTCGGGCGTGGAGCCTCATCAGCCAATTCCTTGGTCTTCTACATGAATGGATATAGTAGCTGACCATAACGTTCGCGTAAAGGCGGCGTATTCTCGAAAGAAAAGCCATCACGAAAACGTCAAAATATTATTGTATATGATGACCTCGCCCACTTGAGCTCAGACGGGTCTTCCACTCTCCTATTTTCCTCTCTTGCGGGCTAACCATTACCTTCTTGATGTTATAAATCCTCGTCAGTATTCCCACACATCTGTCGTTGAGGATGGAGAGCTTCTCCGCGATCTTCTGCTGCGTCGGAGAGAGATTTCGCGACATTTTTCTAACAATTTCTCATTTTTCACGAGTTTAACCCAAACAACTCGGAGGATGGGAAGCGCATTTCTCAACGCCGTTCAAGAGGGTTTTTTTCTGCAATCGGATGTATTTGATTTGTTTTCGAACCTCAATACAGTTTCATGATGAAATAAAATGGAAATTGTTTTATTTTTCTTGTTAGTATCGATATCTTTTTACAGTTTATTTAGAAATGATATCTAAAATGGCTGTGTCCCAATCCCTTTGTAAGATTTAACGCAAAGGTGGTGAGAGGAAATTTATATATGATATGCAAAAGTATTCGCATAAGCTACAGAAGTAAATAATAATGAAGCTATTAAGCCGATCTGTCTCACACAAAAAGATGGTCTTCAGAGCACAAGACAGGCATTGGGGAAGAAACGACTGTCTGCTATGAAACCGAACACATGTCAGATGTTTTGCAGGTCTTGCCACGTAAATCCGTCAAGAAGGTTGGAACTATTTTATTAATTTTATCCTCTGTCTTCCTCTCCTCTTTCTTTTCCCTCCTACTCTCTCCTCATTTGACGTAGCAATTCAACTGTTACCCGAGTGTTGTCGTTGAAAGAAAGAAGAGGAAATGAGAAACAGTAACTCGATTTGACCTCTTTGGTTCCGTGATTGGACATTTTGTTGGTGAGAGGAAATACGTTTGTTTATTATTTGATTTACGATATATCGGTTCCTTGTTCGTAGGAAACAAGTAATGGATCTTTATATGCAGTTATTGGAGAATATATCTTGATGGTCCTGAGTCACTGATATCCTCAATTTGTTTTTTAACAAGGAGAACAATGAATGACGTTAACATGGTATGCATGTACAAGGTACTTGGTATTTATGCTGCGTTCGGAACTCCTCGTCTTGCTCGTCCAGACACCTTGTCCAGGACCAGCAGGACAAGTGGGCCGCGTTCGGAACCTCCAAGACCCTTTTTCCCCAGAATGCAACCGGTTCGAATGTAAACATTCATTTTTTTTATCATACCAGTGTCTTTATTTTACACGCTGCATAGGCTTTGTAATTCCTTTGATGCATGTTTAACTTATCTGCAACTGACAAATACAAAAATATCTCTCTACATCTCTTTTTCCTCTCTCTCTCTCTCTCTCCTCTCCTCTCTCTTCTCTCTCTGTCTCTCTCTTCTCTCTCTCTGTCTGTCTCTCTCTCTCTGTCTGTCTCTCTCTCTCTGTCTCTCTCTCTCTCTCTTGTCTCTCTGTCTCTGTCTGTCTGTCTGTCTCTGTCTCTCTGTCTCTCTCTCTCTCTCTCTCTCTCTCTCTCTCTCTCTCTCTCTCTCTCTCTCCTCTCTCTCTCTCTCTCTCTCTCTCTCTCTCTCTCTCTCTCTCTCTCTCTCTGTCTGTCTGTCTGTCTGTCTGTCTGTCTGTCTGTCTGACTCTCTCTCTGTCTCTCTCTCTCTCTCCTCTCTCTGTCTCTCTCTTCTCTCTCTCTCTCTCTCTCTCTCTCTCTCTCTCTCTCTCTCTCTCTCTCTCCTCTCTCTCTCTCTCTCTCTCTCTCTCTCTCTCTCTCTCTCTCTCTCTCTCTCTCTCTCTCTCTTGTCTGTCTGTCTCTCTCCTTCTCTCTCTCTCTTTCTCTGCTCTCGTCTCTCGTCTGCTCTCTCTCTCTCTCTCTCTCTCCTCTCTCTCTGCTGTCTCGGCCTTCATTGCTCTGTCTGTTGTC